TTTAAAAATAGGAGATTGTATCTGTCTACACCTCTTCTCTGTTCAAAGCAGCAAATAGAGTAGTCCCCTCCTTATCTGCAAAGGATGCTTGAAAGTATGGATAGTACTAAACCCTATATATGCTATGTCTTTTCCTACACATATATACGGATGATAAAGTTTAATTTAGAAATTAGACACAGTAAGAAATGAACAATAACTAATAATGAAATTGAACAATTATAACAATATACTGTAATAAAAGTTATGTGAATGTGGTCTCTCTCTCTCTCTCTCTTTCAAAATATCTTATGGTACTGTTTGCACCTATTTGCAACTGCAGTTTACATTGGGGCAACTGAAACCACCGAAAGTGAAAGAGAACATAAGAGGAGACTACTGTAAGCATGTTTGGCAGCCCCTCATTATTTAATGACACCGAGAAACTTTATGTACCAATAGAAAACAATAAGTAATAATGAATGACCAAGTAAGGCAACCATTAAAGCCCATCGAGTGCTCATTCCCATGGAAGTGCACAACTAGAAGGATCTCCCATGGTTTGTACACAAACACTGTACTGATCCGTGTTTTCATGGTGAGAAGTTATGGCCTCATTGAGAAGCAATACTGAGCCAGCAGGCCCCGGAAGGTGCTTTTAGTGAACTGTGGAATGGGTATACCAGTTTCTTGTTTTAGGGAAAAGAAATACGCACTTGGAGTCACAAAAGCTGAGTTGAAAATTTAGCTTCACAAAGTACAGAACATTAAACGAATCACATATCTCTATTTAATGATTTTTAAAGTGGATATGATAGTTATTCCACCCCATCTAATTCTTCATAATCATTACGAAAATCGAATCAGATGCTAAAGAGCTTTAGAGAATATCGAGTATGTAAGGATAACCAGTCTCAACGTCTAGAGATGATTAAAGGGTTTAGACCCCACAATCTTGCCAGCTTTATCGGCTCTCTTCCTGCCACTCCAAATAAATATATAATCCAAGAAACTGTACACTAACTATACAAACAAAATTTCAAGAGACAACTCTATACCCCAGGCTCCACTGCCTTCCAGTCAGACAGCCAGGCCCAAGCGCCTTCATACGAAATCCTGAAGCCTCCACTGAGACACAGTATGAGCTGTGGAGCTCCCTTGGGAACTCCTCCCTCGAATGGGTTTTCTGCCAGATTATCTAGTTTGTCACTCAAGCCATTCTATTAATTATCATATCCCCCCCAAAAAAATTGCAGAGATGATCAGGCTTAAACTTTCAGATCATTTGACCAATATAGCATTTTTAGGCCACTAAGACAAAAAAAAAACAAGCAATTTTTCAATTCACACCTTTGTGGGTGCATACTGAACATGAGCTATGAGAGGTAATGAGCTATATTGCAAAATGCGTGTGCAGCTTCCATCAGGTAGAGCAGCTTCTAACATTTAGCCTCCATTGACTCTGAATGGACCAGATTATGTGAGAATGCAACACATCATAATAAAATTATCCACTTAGCAACTGGATAGTGGAGCTTTTAAATTTTAACCCCTCTCAGTGTTATTGTAGAATAATCCAAAAAAAATGGAGAGGAAAT